TGATATAAAATTTATCTACTATAAATATCAGTTTTGAAAGAATATACTGTAATTATAAATAGTTTAATTAATTGATTTGAAGGAGTATTTGTCTTATTAGTTTGAAAAGTTTTTCAAATCAAAATTTTTTTTATACAGGATATTTTTAAAGTATTTATTAATTATTTCTTGAATTATAATAAGATTTTCTTTTAACAGATTGTTTTTATTAAAGATTTTGAAGAGATCAATTCTTAACTTTAGTAAATCTAGAGCTTTTTTAATATAGCTCTTGGGCTTGCTATAAAAATTTTCAACTGTTATTTCTTAGTTTAGACAAAACTCTTCTAGAAATTCTTGTTAAGCTTGAACTATTACTTCCTGTATTGGAGTTTTTTGAGCTTTTTTAATTTTTAAAAAGATATATTTGAGTTATTATAAAGAACTTGTAGTTTACAGCTTGACAATTGTATTGTTATATAATTATTTTTTAGCTTTGAGATAATATTGTTAATTTTTCTTATTTTGTTTTTGAGTTTTTTTTTTTGTAATGATGCAAAGATCTTTAGGGACCATATTGATTTTGATCTTTTTTTTTGATAAACTTGTTTATAGAGTTTTTAATAAAATTGTGTAGCTCATTCTAACTTGAAGAGGACAGGAGGCTTATTCAGGATTTTATATCTTGAATAAAGTTTTTAATATTGCTGCTAAAGATTTTTTCAATATCAAACTTGTATATGGATTTGGATTTATTAAATTTAAAATAGTTCAGTTTGATTGATACAGTATAATATTCAGTTGAAATAAAGTTACATTTTTAAATCTTGTATCAAATTATACATGTAATATAAATTATTTTGCTATTAACTCAATTATCAAAATCCTCAAAAATAATTATATTTGATTTAATTATTTTATATGTTTTAATAGTAACTCAATTAATTGTATCAAATAATTGTATCAAATTATATTAAGAGTTTATTAATTTTTATCATATATATATATCAAACTGCTTTGAAGGCTAAGTTTCTTAAAAGTTTTATTTGATCAATTTATGAGGCACTAGTAAGAGTAATGAAGGTAAAAGCTCTTTTATCTAGTTGGTAACCTATATTAATGTACAGTGGTCGACATAAATATCCGGAATTTTTTTTTATAAGAAAAAAATTATTTATTTATTTAAATTAGTTGCTCAAATTTCATATGTACATTGTTTAATATGATGACTAACTATATACGAAAAATTAATAATCGATCTTATTTCCGTCACACTCAATTACTTCTGCAAGTCGATTTGTCATGCTCGTCGCCAACCTAAGAAAGATGTCTGAATCTAGATTTCCCCATTCCTAATGAATTATCGATTGAAATTTATCTGTTGAAAGTGTTTTTTTTTTCATTATCCAAATATTTACCCTTTTTTCTACCCTACCCTTAAGTATCGCCCATAGATTCTCGATCAGGTTCAAGTCGGGCGAGTTTGAAGGCCAGTCAAGAATTTGAATTCCGTGGGTCCTGAAGAGATCTTGCGTAACACCTGCCGTGTGGACTGGAGAGTTGTCTTGTTGAAATCGTAGCCTGCGGCCTGTTCGAGAGACATGAGGAAATAGGTGGGTTTCTAGAATTTGACAGTATTTGCGTACATTTAGATTTTCTGTAAAAAGAAATAACGAGATCGATCCACGTGCGGAAAATGCACCCCAAGCATGAATTTTGTAAGGATGTTTCACTATACTATGGTGTGATCACGAGCTCCCACGGCGGTATCTTACTAATTGGGTATTCTGAAACATCTGAAAAGTTGTTTCGTCAGAAAAAATAGTATGGGACCAATTATCGTGAGCATGAGACTGAGCCCATTCGAGACGGGCGATGATGTAAGAAGGACGAAGAAGAGGAACCCGGATTGGGCGACAAACAATAAACTGAAGGTTTTTTTTTAATACGCGTTGAACAGTGCAGACAGAAATCTTTAGGTTGGGATTTTTTTGAACAAGCCTTTCAGTCATTTCGGCTGCAGTTGCAGCATTATTGGTTTGAACAATTCGACCAAGGTGACGGTATTGTGGAGGCGCGAGAACTTTCAGTCTTCCGGGAATGGGAAGTGGCCTAACGGTACCCCTTTTTTTGAGTCTATTAATTATGTCATAAACTGTGGTCTTTGAAAAACCCGTTATTCGTATAATCTCAGTGGGATTTAGAATATTATTGGTGTAGAGCTTACTTATGACTGTCCTTTGCGTCGAAAGTTCAAAGTTGCGAGACATTATTGCTTGTTTCATGTTAAAGGGAAGTAAAAGTGGATCAAAAAATGTGTAAATGAGACGCATAAGATCTTGAGATAAAAATAGAATAATTCCAATTTTATATTGAGCCAGAATTTATGTCATTGTGCAGTTTTTCGTGAAATGGATCAAATTCCGGATATTTATGTTGACCACTGTAGCTCTTAGCCTTTTAAATACTAATTTTTGTTTCAAAACTCTAAACAAACTATAAAACAATTTTTTAATCTAATTTATCAAGAAATTCAGATTCTTAAAAAAAATATAAATGAAGAAAAAGAAATTTATAATATAATTTATTTAGACAAATTAAGAAAAAATAATTAATCACTTTTATTGAATACAAAGAAATTTACTATATAATCCACTTAGACAAATTAAGAAAAAACAATTAATTATTTTAATTAAATACAAAACTTATAGATTTAAAATTTATAAAATTCAAAATTTATAAAATTCAATATTTATTAAAATATTTATTAAAATAGTATACAAATATGATTTTATTTTATTTATTTATTTTATAATGAAGAAGATAATCAGCACCATGTTTTTTATTGAAATTGATTTGAACCACACTTAAATAATTTCTTATATACTAATATTACTATTAATTATAAGTTTAATCATAATCTAATTCACTTATATAATCCAACTATACAAACTTGCACCAGGGGTAGACCCATATGTCAGATAGAATTACATAGAAGGTGGAAGTTTTGCCACTACCTAATCTATTAATTTATTTTTATTAAGAAACATACAAGGTAATCTTTTTATATAAGCCAATTTAAAAACATTCTGATTGCCTTTTTTTATTAAGGCTAAGATATGGTCTTATTATGGAAATACATATTGGTACTTGATAGATTATCTTTTCACTTTATATCTTTGGCTTATACAGCTATAGATATGATTCTGCATATATATATACCTTCTAGTAAATGCTTTAAAACTGTAATTCTTGATTGGTACAAGCTATTAAATCTAGGGGTATAAATGCCAAGTGGATTATAACACTATTTTTCTCTTAGTAGACACTTCAAAAGAATTTGATAGGCTTAAGCTATCAAATCTAGAGCATAAATACCAAGCAGGATACAACTTTTACATATAGATAGTATTAATCTATCACTTACATCACATGTTAATGTCTATATCAATGATCTCTTCAAGATTCCTTACTAATATTTAACATGTTGTACTATAGAGTCTGTTGTGCTAAAAGGAATATGGACTTATTATTGAAGTTAAACCAAAAGCTTTTTCTTATACAACATTTTCTACTTTGACCTGTTTTCAGCTCGTGATTATTAAAAAGACCAGAGGTTCCATCTTCATACAGCTTAATTAAATTTGGTTTGAATCAAGATGTTTGGATATGACATTTGTAAGAAAACTAATAAACTCACAAATGAAAAATAAATTTATGTGTTTTGCCTCCTGTGGGTATTGAACTAGGAATATGTATTTGGAGACCAGGAAGCATTACTCACTGTACTATTGATTCATTAGTTAACAAATATAATTTTATATTAATATGAATTTTACAAATATATCAATTAATAAGAATGAATCAGTATTATACTAAATGAAATAAATATCGGTTCATTAAATTAATATTTAAATTATAATAGAAAAAAGTTTTAAATATAATATTGTATTTAAGAAAAATACAAAAGAAATGCAAAATCAAAAATAAAAAGATAAATTTAAATGTATTATAGAATCAAAAAAAAATCTAATTTTAAAATTGCTTTCTAATAAAAATTTTGAAATATAATTTTGATTAATACAAATTATAAAATTTAGAAACTAGATTAAGTAAAAAATAATTGCAATATTTTTTAATAAATATTTTAAAGAATTTTAGCTATCAAATATAAAAGCAAATTGTTAAACAAAATATATCTATATATTTGATAGGCAATTAAAAAGTTATAAATACATCATACTTTAGTTTTATATCAATAACCTTTTTTTATTTTATATTAACATATAATAGGATATTATTTTTAACCTTGTTATTTTTTAGGTGATTATAATAATTGATAATTTGATTTTAATGAAGTATAAGTATGGTTATATAAAAAGAGTAATTTGATTTTAATTTTATTGGGAAAATTTTTGCATATACACATGCAAGCATAAAAAATATTAAACTAAATGCCTTTATTTATAAAACTTTTATTACAAAAATGACTCAGGTATTAATGAACCTAATTAAAGGTCTTATTCTTATATCACTTTAATTTTTATATTTAAATTTTTAAGTAGCTTTAATATAAATAAAAGTTTGATGCGAGTTTTTGGTAGAGCTAATTTTCATCTGAGTAGGAGTCCCGATCTTTTATCCAAATGTTTAATACTTACCAAAAAAGAGTTATCTTGGTTATATCGCACGTTGCTGGATGAGACTAAAGCTAGAAGAACAAACTAAATAATTTTTTTTCATCATTTTTTATGTACTGTACATGTACAAATACATAGGGTCAAAAAACTTCACTACACATACACTTATACAATTATTAAATATTCATGCTTGTTTATTTAAATAAGAAATGGCGTAAAACGTTCGATGTAAAAAGTATTATCCGAATTATAAGATTCCACTTAAATTATTGTACAGGATTCATAAATTTTCAGATAAACAATATCGATATTTACTAATTCAAATATTATAAACAAATAAAATATACGCAAAATATTGTAAATTGGTTATAATAAATTTTTTTATAAAATCTTGTTATATTTGAAAAAAATATTTAATAGTTGATGTACTTGATGTGTATGAGCGTATGGCAAGAATGAAGCATCAATAATATTTACATCTTGCCCTCTGAAAAAATAATTCAGCCAATACTCTTTTACACTCCTTGCCAAAAGTACGTTAGAGATATTATGTGGATGCTTCATAATCTGAGCATACCGGAAATACCCAGATGGATCAATAGCCTGCCCAGATGTTTGAATCATTTTTCGAGCATCAGTCAAGATCTTGTTACGCTTTGTATTATCATAGTCCATGATACTTCCGCCAAAGACCTCTGTTGTCCAATTCATTGATGACATTATGTGAACTGTATCGTTTCCTGAACAAGCTTGAAGCAACTTATGAAAATTATGTGCACAAAGATAATCACAAATGTTGCTCCAGGAAATTGTTGATGAATCTAGTTGACGAATAGAAGTTAATAACTCGGGATTATCATTTGTGACCCATTGAAAATGCAGATATATTTCTATCTTTTTGGTTTCTCCTACAGGAGGTAATAACCATGTGCGAACTTTTGCAATTGCTTCTTCAAGAAAATTGTAAACTGCATTTAAGAAAGCGGTATTTTCACATTGATATTTAGGTAGAATGGACTCCATTGGCATTAGATGAAGCATAATTTCACTGGTCGAGTGTGGTGAAATTCCGTCACTGCAGTTGAACATCATAATACTTGCAACTAGATTTTCTGGTTGTTGATCATCCATGAGCGGAAACTCGCCAGTAAAAATATAGCGCGCAACTTGCACACGATCTCGTGGTTTAACAAGATTTACGATAATAGCAAATACGGGGTCTGTTTTATTAAACACACTTGCCCAAAGTTTATGTGCATTTTTCCGGGATTTTGGTGATCCGACTGATTTACTCCAATAAGATATTAAAGATCTAACTTCTGGATGAAGTTCCCTTTTTGTAGGGTTAGGTGGTCTGTCAACTGATGCATTTCCAAATTTTATTATGTTGTTGATAGCATTCTTAAAGTGCTCTAAGGTTTCCTTTGTCCAAACAGAAGAAAACCAAGCTTCTATTATTGATCTAATTGGTGCTTTTCCAATAATCATTTCTAAAATCACATTGGTCTTTGCTACTGCATAAACGGATCCTTCATAACCAATGAATTTGGCTGGATGTTCTACCAAATCCTCGTTTTGCAGAATTGTCGTTTGTAAAAGTAAGTCCAAGTCCACAAACCCAACAGCAACATGAACTTTTCCTTGAATAAGTCTCAATTTACCATTCTTTGGCGTGTTACTAAAGCTAAGAGCACATCCTCCCGTATCGGCAATATACGGTAAATTTGTTGTTCTGGCAAAAATATCACCAATTTGTCTGGGAGATGAGAGAAATTTTGTAAGTTCATTCGACCATCCACGCCATCTTTGCATTATGTTCTGAGAATTGGATTTATTAATCATATTTATGGAGTCTTCGTTAAATTGCATGTTCATCTGTATCTCTCCAAGAAGTTCAACTTGCTTTATTTCGTTCGGATATTTTATTGCAAACTCTTTCTCGAAATTAGGTACAATGACTTTGCATGACTTCTTGTGCTCTTTCCAGTCTTGTTTTTGGCATTCCTTGGAACAGTAATATGCTCGACTGCATCTTACACATATGCCACTGCACAGTTTCTGACAGACGTTGCATTTATTCATAAGTACGTAGCTATGTAAAATTAAACAAGTCGTTGAATTTAGAAGTGAGTTATACGTACGCCGATACTGCTATTGTAATATTTTTGGAGGGGTTACAGTTACACGGAACGGTCATAAGACGAATTGACATACCGTAATTTTCAATGCGATACCCTCTCCTTTTAATGTACTCCGACATAAGGCCAAATATTTTGTACTAAATTTGGCTAATATCAAAAAAATTATTATACTGTACAGTATATCGCCTTAATCAATAAATTGATTGCTTGTTGTTACTTATTGAATTTCTCGATACAGTAATATTAGCACTAGCATATATATTTGGTGATATTTTCTAGCTGCGACACAATGGTTAGTAATAAGAGTCAGCTATATACTTCCAACAACATGCTAGTGGTTTAAACACAACTATTAGTACTCCCTACAGTGTCAGTAATTTTGACACGGACGGGTTAACTTACGATATGTAATTAATACAGAAATACTGTATGATTGCAAATTTAAAATATGTCTGTATACTTCCCGTATAAAAATTTAGGCATAGGGTCAGCAACTGAATACTTTTCACAACATACTAGTGATTTAAGTATAATAATATACAAAATAATATTTGTTTCTTTATTTTTTATAATTATATATAATAAAACGATACTTTTCTTTCTTTGTTACTACCAGGATATAGGCTAATTACTGACAAAACGATAATTTTGATCATGAATTAGTTTCATTAGAAAAATACAATTAAAGGTAGAAATTTTTGAGGATATAATCTTAGAGTCTATCATTAAAACACATTTGGAAATATTTTTCATGATAATTGAAGTTAGCTTATACAAAATCTTTAGAAATAATATGGTTTATAAAAATATTTCTATATGTCAATTTATCTTTTATTAAACTTCTAAATAGGAACAGTACAGATATTCCATAATGTTAGCATGAGAAATGATATAGATAGAATGGGCACAGTATGAGCATGATAAAAGTCAAACATATAGAAAAATTACTAGTAATACTGTCATATATTTAAAAATAGTCTATAATAGTGTTGTAATAGGCCAAATCAAATCGGGTCAGAGTCAGGCTGGTAATATAATGGGTCGGGTCGAGTTACAATGATGTAATGGGTCAAGTCAAATCAGGCCAGGGCAAATTCGGTGATGTAATAGGTCGGGTCAAATAAAGCCCGGGCCAG